CAACATAACCCAACTCAACCCTGCCCCACCCAACCTAACCCAACTCAACCCTGCCAATCCAACATAACCCAACTCAACCCTGCTCCACCCAACCTAACCCAACTCAACTCTGCCAACCCAACCTAACCCAACTCAACCCTGCCAACCCAACATAACCCAACTCAACCCTGCCAACCCAACATAACCCAACTCAACCCTGCCCCACCCAACATAACCCAACTCAACCCTGCCCCACCCAACATAACCCAACTCAACCCTGCCCCACCCAACATAATCTCCACCAAACCAGCCCACCTTCGAGCACACTGCCCTATTTTATCTTGCTTATCCCCCCCTCCCTGGAGAATGAGTTCCTGCAGAGCAAGGACTCTTGTTCATCTCCGTCTCCACCAGTTAGAGAAGGCCATATCCAAGAGCAATCAGGGCACTCCATAGACGCGTGTGGGTTGGTTGAGCTCCTTTATCCAGAGGCGTGTACTGCCCCCCCCCCACGAACCTCCCCTTCCACCCTGCAAGAAATCACAGCAAAGAAAGAACCATAAAGGGTGCAGAGAACTCTGAGCAGTCAGAATATAGGACCACAAAATCCACCCTGCACTAAAACTATGGTTTTAACTCAAGATATGCTCCGCCTGCGTTTCAACCCGAAGCTCATTAGTAAAACAGCAGTGTGGCATTGTCCTGTGCCAGCCCCCGTTCTGGGGACCCAGGGACATCAGGAGGCTGAGTCCACTCTGTGTGGGGACAGAGAGCCCCAGGCCATTCAGCAGGCCCCAAGGGCATGGCGGCTCTGGCTCAGTGTGGAATCTTCAGGGTGGCTCTGTGGCACCAGTAAAAGGCCCATTGGCCTCAACCCTGCTCTAAGGCTGAGCCATCTGTGAGAGCCCAGAGGCCTCCTCATCCACAATGGCTGATGGACAAAGGAAGGACAGTTAACAGTAAACATGTCATCCGCCCAAACCTCAGCTGCCCACAGAGACTGCCCAGCGCCATTCTGAGCATGTTCCTTGAGGGCAGCTGCCTGGCTCGACCCCTCCCGAGTGGCGGGTGAACTTTGAGTTAAGGGAGGATGCGGCAGGCCTGCCATACCCACTGACCCACTGGAGGAGGGACACTCAGTTGCTAACTGAAAGGTGGAAGGTTCAAACCTACTGAACCCCAAGGCTCCATGGGAGAAAGTCCCGGCAGTCCGCTACTGTGAAAATGACAGAACACAAACAAAACCCCTGCCAGGGAGTCGGTGCCGACTCCTCACGGCCCTCTAGGGTTTCCCAGACTCTAACTTTTTACGGGAGCCGAGAACCTCATCTTTCTCCCTCGAAGTTCCCTGGTGGTTTTGAACCACTGACATTGCAGTGAACAGCCCAGTAGGTAACCACAATACCACCAGGGCTTCTCCTAAAAGACCCTGTGGGGCAGTTCTGTCCCCCACATGGTGCTGCTATGAGTTGAAATGAACAGGACGGCCCTGGAGAACTCGCCATGTGACCCCGTGTTCCTTGGGGATCCGACAGTTCTAGCCAATGGATTTGAGATGAGACGCAGGAGTTGGTGGGGAAAGGAGTGGACGGGATATGGGACGTGCCTGTAGGTGCTATGTCATTCTGTGGGATTAACACAGCCCATTTTCTGTTCTGTGTGTTCATGCACCCAAGTGCATATTGTATGTACCTGTATGTGTGTGGCTACGTGTTCATGCATACACATGGGTGAAGGTGTACTTGTGTGTGTGCAGTGCATGCATGCGTGCCAACAAATGATGGCCGGAGCCCTGGCAGCATTGTGGTGACGAGACGGACTGAAATGCAGGCTTGGCGGGTGCTCTGCTGGAGAAAGATGGGTCACTGTAAACAGTGACCATCTCAGAAACGCACAGGGGCAGTTCTACCCTGTCCGGCCGGGTCGCTAAGTCAGTGATGACTCACACGACGGCAGTGAGTTTGGTTTTTTGGTTTGTTTTCCGTGCCTAGCAGGAGTAGAATTCTCTTAGGACAGAGAGAAGGGTGGCTTCCCCAGGACAACACACGGACAGGACACTGGGCTGAGTGTCTCATTTTTCAGGCACCCCCTCCCTCACGGGGAGAACCAGGTGTCTTCTCTGCACGCATGCTTACACGTGTACACACACACACACACACACACACACACACACACACACGCTGCAGCAGCTTACAACCCAAGGTTCCTTATCTTCACGTACAAGTGAGAACTAGGTCCTGAAACTCGGAGCCCATTGGGTTAATAAGGAGAGCACACCCTTCACCCTGGGGCTACTCGGCAGGCGGGCAGGCAGCTCAGGAGGAAGGGGAGACCCCTGCACAGCTCTGTTCGCCTCTCCTGGGAGGCCCACGAGGAGTTAGGCTGAGTGCTGGAAGGCTACCTGGTCTTTGCGGGCAGGTGAGACAGACGAGGCTCAGGGGCTGGGGCAGTGCTGGCCTGGCTCCGAGAGTCAGGGCTCGGAGCCCCAGCCCAGTGCATACCCGGCTTCAGCTAGCACATCCCGGACAGACGCCAAATGGTTCAGACTTGTCTTTGTCTGCAGACAGCAGGGTGGGTGGGATCTTCTTGTGCGTCAGACCTCTGGGTTGAGCCCTGGGCCTGGCAGTGCCCTGGGGGTGGGGGTTTGTGATGGAACACCACCCCCACCCCCACTGCCTGCCTCTGCAGAACATGGGGCGCGGGTGGGGGGCACCCTGCTGGTGGAAGCCAGCTGCCTGGCATAGAATGGGGATGGAGCTGGGGAGAGTGGGGGGAGGTGGGGGTTCCCTGAGATGAACCTTTTCTTGGAAAGACCCCTGGGGTCTGGCCCGGCTCCAGGGGTCTGTAGGGGCCTCTCTCTGCTGTCTGGGATTCCAATCTCCGCAGCTGGTGTCTGAAGACAATAAGACAGAGGCCTCCCCACCCTGGGCCACCCCACCCCGGCCCCAGATGGGCTGCGGTTAGCGAGGCCTCCACCAAGACCGTCGGTTCCTTGTACAGCCTGGTCCTCAGAGAGGTCTGTGCTGAGTGCACCCAGGCCAGGGTGGGCCGGGAGCGGGGTGGTCCTGGGCGCCACGTCAGCGTGGAGGAGCCCACCAGTGCTTCTTGGGGCTGCGCAGCCACCCAGGCTGGGGCTGAGGTGCTCTGAATCACAGGGGTGGGCTGGGGGAGGGGAGGGACTAGGGGTACATCGGGAGGGGGAGCCCTCAGAACCCCAGTTCGCTTCAGGGGTTCCAGTGGGGCAGGACACTCTGAGTCTCTGAGTGTGGCCTGAAGTACCGAGGGGCCCCGGGAAGGCCCCACCCTACCCAGCTGATGGGCGAGGTTCCTGAAGACCAGAAGGGCCAACAGAGCTCAAACCTTGGCGGTAGACCGAGGCTGCTAGAAGGGTAAAGCCCAGGGACAAAGGGCCTGGGGGGTGGGGTGGGGGCAGCTCCACCCCCTCTCAGGGTGCTGCCTCTTCACCCCCATCTCTAGCCCCCACATAAATCTCTCACTGGGCCCTCCTTCCACTCCCACCCCAAAGCCAGTGTTATCTGGGCTCACCTCTCCCCCACCCGGCCATCCATCTTCCCGGATAACCCCAGGTCGCCCTTTCTCCCTGCAGTTAGCCCAGCCCAGCACCCCCCTCCTCACATTCCACTGCCCCTCCTTCCCCCACAGCTCTGCGCTCCATTCTAAGCTGCCCACCACCTTCTCCCCTGTGTCCTTCCCTGACACCCCCACGCCCACTCCCTCCAGGTCTGGACCCTCTGCTGCCTCCCGCGCGCCCCCCCCCCCCCCCCCCCCCCCCCCCCCCGCAACTTCCCCCCAAGGATCAGGTGCCCACAAAGGCCCCCAGGAAGGCCCTTCCATCAGAGGGGGCAGCAGAAACCTTGCCTGGCTGTCTCCCTGCCCCCAAAGAAAGAAAGGAAGGGGCCATATATCTTGATGCCTCCGGTGGGCTTCACCCCTCCCCCCCAGCCCACCCCCCTCCTCCCAGAGAACCCTGGGAGGCTGAGGAAGGAGCGGAAAGGCTGAGCTAAGCCTGCAGGAAATTAAACATGAAATGAAAACAAGCACCTCTGATCCATTCTCTCATCCTGCCCCCAGCCCCGCAGCCCAGGCCACTGATAAAGGGAGATCCCATTTCAGCAGCCCAGACGGAGACCCGATCCAGCCTGGGCTCCCTGTGGGCAGCCTGGGTGCTGACCCCAGGGACCCCCAAAGGACGAGGGTCCCCAGGAGGCTTTGGGGAGAGGGCAGGCACAGGCAGGAGAGGGACAGGGGGTGGCTGGAAGAGCAACAGCTCTGGCCCGGCCAGCAAGTGTGCACTTGGGAGGGGGCGGGGTGTGTGTGTGAGCCAAAGCAGGAGTGGAGGGCGGAGACCTACCAGCAGGAAGACCCACACTGTGGAAGGGCCATGCCCACTGCATCTTTTCTCCGGCAGCTCTATCCCGGGTTGGGGGTGTCCCCTCGAAGCTGGGACAGAATGGGCTGCTGCTGCCATCCCATAACTCTCTGGGACCAGGCAGAACTGCCCCACAGGGCTTCGTAATCTCTAAGGTGGCGTTGTGGTTACATGCTAGCTGCAAGGTCAACGGTTCAAAACCATTAGCCGCCCTGCAGGAGAAAGACCAGGCTTTCTATTCCTAAACAGTTAGGGCCTCAGAAACCCACAGGGGCAGTTCTAACCTGCCTTCTAAGCTTGGAACTGACCCAACGGCAGTGAGGTTGGGTATTGGCTTGGAATCTCTAAGGCACAAAATGGCCAGGTGTCTCTCCTCTCCCTCTCCCCACTCCCACTCCCCCCTCAGGTCTCTTCCCACAGCCACCTGGTCCATTAGAACCACCGATCGTTGGGGTTTTGCAATTGGCCAGCTCAACACATCTAACCCGCAGTGCCACCAGGGTCACATCCACAGTGTGCAGGACTCAGAACACGTCTGGACATCCTGCCTGCCGTCTGTGCAGAACCCAGCCCCGCTCCAGGGCTGCAGAAACTGAGGCCATGGGCAAAAACTGAGGCCGGGAGCACCCCGGCTGTACCGGAAGCCCAAGCTGGTCAGCCTGTGTGCTAGCCTGCGGCAAGGCCCATCTGTTTCCCAGGGCCAGGGCCTTCTCCGAGGGGAGCGGGAGGGGGCAGGTCGCAGCAGAATGGGCAGAAGTTTCTCTGCGAAGCGGCCTCTGAGGAGCAGCCACGGCCTTGTTCATCTCGGGGTTCTGCCTTTGACTCAACCTAAAGCTATCCCCAAGGAGCCTGGTGGCACTGTCAGTGAGCTACTGGGCTGCTAAGCTCAAGGGCAGCTGTTCGAGTCCACCAGCCACTCCATGAGAGGAGGCCAAGGCTCTGGGCTCCCGTCTGGTCGAGAGTGTCTCAGAAACACCGAAGGGCCGTTCTCCTGCACCCTCTGGGGTCACTTTGAATCAAAATGAATGGGATGGCAGTGGGTTTTGTTTCAAAACTGTTCCCAGCCTAGAAACTGGCCCCCCTTTGCTCCCTCTCCCACCCTCCCGGCCCCTATCACCACTTGCCGAATGTCAGCTCACAGGGACGGAGGCAGCAGGCTCCCTGGACAGCGGCCCTGGGAAGTTCTCCCCAGGCCCCAATGGCCCCAACCTCCCATCACCAAATCGCCCCACCACTGAGGCACACACCCGTCTCCCCAAGAGGTCGCAAATGTCTTGCCTGCGATGACTAACCTGAAGGCTGGCGGCTCAGTTGGGTCCCCACTCCCAGGGGCACTGTGGAAGAAAGACCTGACACCCTACAAAGATCGCAGCCCAGAGAATCAGCAGGACGCGGAACTGACCTGACCGGCATGGGTCTGGTGGTTGGTTTAGAGGCTCTAGAACAGCGGTTCTCAACCTGGGGGTCAAATGACCCTTTCACAGGGGTCACCCAATTTATAACAGTAGCAAAATGACAGTGATGAAGTAGCAACAAAATAGTTTTATGCTGGGGTGGGCGGTTACCACAACATGAGGAACTATATTAGAGGGTCTAGGCATGAGGAAGGTTGAGAACCACTGCTCTAGAATCATCATCCCGGCCACCTCCCTCGCTCCATGGCAGGAGGGGCTCGCTGCTCTCGGGCAGACCGCTTCCCTGGGCACTCGAGGGTCAAGGCCACATCTTCCTCTCCTCACATCTGGCCAGCGTGCCTCCTCAGCCCTCCTGCCTGCCAACCCCTCAAGGACCATTCCTCTCCTCCAGGAAACCTTCCCAGATTGCCACAGCCTCTGCTGCTAAGCTGAACCCCATGATGGCATAGGGCCTCACTCACCTGGGTCCCTGCACGTTGCGTTGGGAGGCTACAGGGGAGACTCGGAAGGTGAGGGATTCTGCACCTGGGTTGAGAGGCCCCAGGGAACCATGGGCATTCTAGAAAACTGTTATTAGCTGGGAGAAAATTTCCCTTGAGGGACCTTCCTAGCTGGTGTCAGGGGCTCTGGTGGCACGAGGCGGCTAACAGCAAGGTCAGGCAGTTCAAAACCACAAGCTCTGTGGGAGCAGGATGGTGCTTTATATTCCCCTAGAGAGTTACAGTCTCAGAAGCCCACAGGGGAAGGTCTACCCTGCCTTCAAGTTCCTATGAGTGGGAATCGGCCCAATGGCCTTGGTTTGGTTTGGTGGTCAGCAGATAAGGTTGGCATTGGGTCGATGGCGCTTAGAAAGATGACCCCTGCTTGGCTTTATGTGAGTGGGGTTCACGGACTCTAGACTCGGAGACTCCAAGTTAGCTGTCAAGGTCACGTCCATGACTGGTGGACAGCTGCCTAGGCCTGGACGCTTTTGTCCAGGGCTCCAGGCCCAAAGCAGCTGAGGACCAGCTGGGCCTGCCACTCCTCCCCCGGCAGCTGGGCCTGGCTCCGGGTCAAGGTGTGCCGGCCTTGGGGCCTCTGGGGCAGGCCTGACCCAGCAGACATCTGCTTTGTCCTGTAGGTCTGGTTTCAGAACCGGCGGGCCAAGTGGAGGAAGAGGGAGCGTTTTGGGCAGATGCAGCAGGTCCGGACCCACTTCTCCACGGCCTATGAACTGCCCCTCCTCACGAGAGCCGAGAACTACGCCCAGGTGACTGCCTCCCCCTGGTCCCCAGCCGCTCCAACTCTGGCAGTGGGTCACCTAGGAAGGACCTGGGCCCTCTCGGGGGTGGGGACACGGGGCTCCAAGTTGGCCCTTCCGGCCTATTCCAGATGCGTACCCCAGTTCACAGCAGCAGGTGTGCAGCCCAGAGCTGCTCATGCTGGTGGCATCATCACGCCCCGCCCCCTTGGCTGGACTGCGGGCACAAGGGGGCACCTTTCCCACCACGATCAGAAAGGCTCACGGCAGTCTCCCACCTACTCACCCACCTTGCTGGCCAGTCTGCTCATTCCACTCCGGGCTTCTGAGCCAGTCCAGACCAAACCCCACAGGCCTTCGGGAACAGGAATCCTCCCAGAGCATGTCCTTGGGAGGGTGGGAGGGGGTCCTGAAATCTGGTGGCGAAGCTGGAATGAACATGGAACTGTGAGCTCCTCAGCTTAGGCTCCAGGCCTGAGTCCTTTCAGGCAAGCCACAAGGCATTGAACATTGCAAAAAGCCTCCACCCAACTCTTGTGGAAGGTCTGACTAGGGGGTTACAAGCTGCTGCTGGGCCACCCTGACTGATGGTGGCATCCTGTGGCATCCAGACAATAGGCTGTTGTGATCCATTGAAATTTTCATTGGCTAACTTTGGAAAATAGATTTCCGGGCCTTTCTTTCTCGTCTGTCTTAGTCTGGAAGGGCCACTTGAAACCTGTCCACCATGGGGGACCCTGCTGGCTTTGAAGATACCAGTGGCATAGCTCCCAGCATCCCAGCCACACAGAGGTCACCACCATTTGCCCTGACGGACTGGGGCGGACGGTCTGCTCTAGAGAATGACAGCAGGCTATGTGGGTTATCTTGTTTGCTTCGCAGCTCTCTGCCCCACTGGGTTCCCATGTCCCACCTCCTCCTGCCCCCTTACAGCCTCTTCCTAGCTGTCTGTCAACCAGACCCCCTCTCTGGTGGCACCTGGGCCCTTTGTGGGATGCCAAGGGATGAAAACTGCTGGTGATGCCAGGCACCCAGAGTGCTGGGAGAGAGACACTCATGTGTGGGTCCACTCCGGATGCCCTTCAGCCCGTTTGGGCCAAGGTGGCCACCCCTTCCTGCTCAACCTCCCCCTGGCTGCCACCCAGCTGCACTGAGCCCCACCCAGTCTCCTCTACTCCCCCAGTCCTGGGCTGTGCCAGTGTATGGTCCCTACGTGTCTTCTCCGTCCCAGGACTCACGTGAGGCCGAGGAATGTGGGCCATCTGGCACACTCGCCTGGCCTGTGGGTTAGCTCCTGCTGCCAGCTCACACCTCCTCCTCCCCAGGTCCCCCCACTCCCTCCTCCCCTCCACCTTCGTCTCTTCATCCAGGTGCACACGCTAGAAGGGGAGGTAAAAACAAACACAGGCCTCCCCCTCGAGCTGCCTCCGACTTCTGCATATCAGGATGGACAGCCCATGGGCCCACTCCCCAAAGCAGTGCAGAGGAGCGCCCTGGGCACCCTGTAATGGCTATGGTGGCCTCTAGGCCACCTGAGACCTGGGGCCCAGCTTTCCAGCTCTGAATGTCACCCAGTGCAGCAGGAGGGTAGGTGGGTGGGGGTGGGGCTCCTTCCTCAAAACAAGAGGTACAGGAGGCTCTTCTCAAAGCTACCCCCACTCTACACTCATGGCCAGCCCCCTAGAGATGCTGAGAGCAGAGGAAACAGAGGTCCAGGGCTGAGCTGGAGAGGGGACAGCGATTCCCTACTGGATGCTGGCTCCCCTACTGACAACTTGTCACCCTGCTGTGTGGGCTTCTAGTTTGGGCCCCATCCACCAGTTCTGGGCACTCACTCCCTCTTCCATCTGCAGAGAGATGTTGCTTGCCATCGGATCCCCTGTAGCCCCATGGTGCCAGGGCCCTGCCACTCCCTGGGTGTCTAAGGTGGGGGGCTTTGGGGAGCAGATTGGTGGGCCTGTCTTCAGAGGTGCCTCTGGGTAGCTTTGAACCACCAACCTTTGGGTCAGTGGGAAAGTGCTTATCCATTCCCACCACCCAGGGACTCCTTTCAGTGTCAGGTGGCTCTAAGCGCTCAAAGGCTGGGACCCCCCAGCCACTGATCTTGGTTCCTGGGAGAACTCAGACCACACTCCCCACCCCAACCCTTGCCAACACCACTACAACCCACCCACCCTACCCAGCTTGGCGTTGAGGTCAGTGGTCACTACTTCTACTCCTATGTGCTGGGCTGGTGGAAGAGTCCAAGGTCACTGACACCCAGTTCCTGCCCCTCCAGGGTCCACAGAGGAAAGGAAGGCAGAGCTACAGCGGAGTCTCATCAGGGACCAGGGACTGGCCCTGCAAGGCTGTGCTCAGCTGTTTGCAGGGCTCTGGGCTGTCCACTCCCTGGGCCCTGGATGAAGTTTGGAGTTGGGTCTTGACCCCAACTCTTCTGATCCTGGGAACAAAGGCACCCAAAACATAAAACTCACCCCTCCCAGGGCTGCCTGGGGTCCACTGATATTTGCAGTCTCTCCTGTGAAAGGACTCTGGGGTGGGCATTCTTGTGTGAGAAGCAGCCAGCTAAGGAAGAGTGAGAGGGCCCCCTCCTGCCGGCCTGTGACCCTTCTCCCTGCACTCTCCCCAGATTCAGAACCCGTCCTGGATTGGCAACAATGGTGCCGCCTCACCTGTACCTGCCTGTGTGGTCCCCTGCGACCCTGTGCCCGCCTGCATGTCCCCGCACGCCCACCCACCTGGCTCGGGCGCCGGTGGCGTCACCGACTTCCTGAGCGTCCCAGGCGCTGGCAGTCCGCACGTGGGCAGCCTGTTCGGAGCCGCTGGCCTGAGCCCCGGCCTCAATGGCTATGAGCTGAATGGCGAGCCGGACCGCAAGACCTCGAGCATCGCGGCCCTGCGCATGAAGGCCAAGGAGCACAGCGCAGCCATCTCCTGGGCCACCTGACGGCGCCCTCCGCCCCATCCCGTGCCCTCCCCCACCTTGGGGCACTGGCCACGTCCATGCTTTCCAGGCCCCCAGCCTCCCACTCGACTTGCCTCTTAGGAACCTGGCCTGGCCCAGGGGCCTGACCTCAGCACTTTCAGCCCATCCCCCCACCCCCCACCAGCCTGAGGCCCCGTGGACCGCTGGGGGGAGGGTGCAGCTGCCCCCACCCTCCCCTCCCTGGCCAGCAGGCCTGAGAGCCCTGCCCAAGCGCAAGTAGCAGAGCGCCAGGGCGCCTCGGGCTGCAGCTTCCATCCACTCTTAGCCCAACACCCTTCTTGTCCAGGGCGCTCCCTGAGTCACAGCTCGATTCCCACCTGGACCCAGCAGCACCAACATCGGCCGCCCACCGCTCTGTTCCCGTGGGCCCTGCCCACCTCCCTGTTCTCTGTGGATCCAGGTCACCTGGCCAATGACTGTGCATGAAGAAAGCAACCCTCCAGAACCCACCCCCACCCAAGCACCTGTGCTGCCTGTCTCATTTCCCCAAAGCACCCGGAATGCTTCCTCCCCAGCCAGGACAACCCCACACCTACGCCCACAGCCCAGAGGTGCTGGTGCTGAAGAACCTGCAGCTGTCTGCACGGAGAGGGATGGGCCATCCCCAGGGAAGACACCGCCCAGCTCCCTGGACCCTCAGACCCTGGTTCTCGGTGGATGATGACTAGGGGCGGAGCTGAGGAACTGGGTCCCGCCCCCTCCGATGGGCTTGCTACTTCCTTACAGAGGAGTCCGGAAACTCAGTGGCAGTTCATAGGGTCGCCATGGGTTGGCATCAACTGGATGGCAGTGAGTGAATGGGACACCGTGGTGCTGGACAAAGCTCCCAGCAGCGAGGGAGGGGTGCTGCGGGGCGGGGCACACGCACTTCCACTACCCACCCACCCCAGCCAGCAAGGGGTAGTGCACCGGCTCTGGGCTGGGCTCTGAACCCGTTCCATCTGGCTCAGTAATGGCTAGTGGAGCAAAACTTGAAGGGACCTGGATTTTTGCAAAACGGGTGATACGGAATGCTAACCAGAATGGGGAAAAGGATGAGCCCTGGGATGGGGGCTTTGGAAGAGGGGGTGTGAGCCCTTCCAGGGGTCTGACCTGTTAGATTAGATGGTTGGTGGTGTGGAGAGTGACCCACATTCAACGTGGCCCAGTTGGCCGCCATCTTTGAGCCGGCCACCATTGTTTCTGACTCTGCTCCAAATCCAGCCTGGAGCAATGTGGTTGCTATGTAACAAGTGTGCATGACGCCCGCCCGCCTGTGTTTAATAAGAGGGAGGGTAAGTTTCCCACTGTGGGGCGTTGGTTCTCAGGACAGTCAGGCGTTCTGGGCAGTATTGTTCTCCAACCTGCCCATGCTGGAGGCTAGCCCAGAGGAAGTAGAGATGCTCCCCTATTCCCAGCCATCCCCTGGCCACTCACTCGGGCTGCTCAGCCATGTCCGGGCCTGGAAGACCACCTCTGAGAGCACAAAGGCTAGTGCATGGGGTCACAGTGGCCGAGGGGAGGAGGTACCTGTAGCCTTTTGCATGTTCGTAAGGAGCCCACTCCGTTTCTTTCCTTGGGGACTAGAAATCTCAAACACACTCAACCCCATGATGGTTTTGGGAGGGTTTGTGGGGCTCAATTTCTCGGGGTCCGTGGCTCTGTTCTAGATGTGGCTACAGAAGGCACTCCTGAGTCCAGGCTTCACCGCCTGAGGGAAGGGCCTCCTTCTGGGGGTGGCTCCTCCTCAGATAGCTGCCTGATTTGGAACCTCAACTTGTGTTTTGGCATAAGCCTTCCCCAAAGCTTAGAGTCCACAATAGCGATCTGCTGAGTCAGCTCTTACCTGCCTCTCCCTTCCTTCTTCCTCCCTTGATTCCTGTCCCCATGAAGGACCAGGCCCACCAGGCTCGGGGTCCTGGCCCAGAACTGCCCCTGGGTCGGGCTGAATGAAAACCCCAGTGGGGAAGAGTAAGACCCTCTGTCCAGAGCTCCCCCATGCTTCAGAAGGCAACGGGGTGCTCACCTGGAGTTCTCATCTGGAGGCTAGCTGCCTCCCATGGCAAGTCATTGCTCCAGAAACCACAGTGGGGAAGGGCCTGTCATTGGCCGCCCTTAACCAGAGTCAGAGCCCTTGGGAACTGTAGCTCTAACATGGACCTTCAAGAGGCTCAAAGGATCTCAGACATGGAAGGAAATGTTCTTGAGGGTTTGGCTTTAAGCAATTCATCTGCTCGAGGACCTGGGAACGAATCGTAAGAAGCCCTTTCAGGTTCTGATGGTCACAAAAATAACTCCGAGGCCCCCAAGATACAGGCAAGGAGGGGAACAAGGAACTAGAGTCTGGGGCAGCGCCCCACCCACCCTCCACCCACCCTCCATCCTTAAGTGTCCCGGAGGCTGGGGAAGAACAAGGAGGTTCTGCTCCACAGGCATCTTCTGAGCCCGGAGAGCATCGGCCTGCGCACGCACGCGCACACACACACAGACCTGCATGTCCTTTCCCCTCGGGAGAGGGCATTGTTTAAGTACCTCCATCTGGAAGGGAGGCCCCTTGGCTGCGGCAGAGCCAAGTCAGGCCAATTTCAACCCGAAAGTTTGAGAATCAGCAGCCCCCAGCGTGGTTCTGCAGGACTGTGCTGGTTAAGGCCCTGTCTCATCTCACCATGCCTGTCCTCTCTCCCACCCCAACCTCCGGTATCACTGAGCTGAAAGGGGACTTAGCAACGCTTTGGTCCAAGCCCTTCCCAACAAAGATGACCCCCAACCCCAAGAGGGTAGCTGACTGCCCTAGGCTGTTTGACCCAAGGCAAAACTAACTGTGGAACCAGACCATGCTGGCCCCACCCGCCCTCAGGGCTGCAGCCTTGGTTGGCCTTGGGGCAGATGGTGCTGTGCTAAGCTCCCTGTGGTCCCCCTACATCCTCTCACCAACTCGGTTCTCTGGGTTCTCTGATTGTGTGCCCGGTTCTTCCTCTGCCGGAGGCCAGGTCGAGGGCTTCTGCGTGGCTTCCAGTGTGGACTAAGCAGGCCTCGGCGTCTCTCATGGCTGCCCGGCTCAGTTCCTGAGGTGAGCAAACCTTACCTGCTGGGTGGTCCCCTGATAAGCTAAATGAAGTGAGGATTCCCTGTGCCTAACTTGCCCACAATGGCAAGGGAAACCACAATGTACACAGGAATCGAGGGGCAGCTGGTGGATCCGTGGGCCGCACCAGACACGGAGAGCCTCTGCTTGTGGGGGGCGTGGGGTGTCACAGCAGGCCACGGCTCCACACTAAGGTGCTGCCTCTACCCTACAGATGCCACCCTTGCACCCAGGGCACAGGAGCAGGGGGCTGGAGGAGTTCTTATAAGTATACTTGATTCTCAGCTCTTGCCATGGGGCCTCCAGGTCAGGAAAGCTGGACGACCGGGTGGGTTCCAAGACTCCGCCCCCACTGGAGCCAAGTCACCCAATAAGCAAGGTCTGCATGGCATACTTGTGCCGTCCACTGTGAACCATTTCACCCAGGGCTCACCGTGTGGTGAGACATGGAAACTACAGAGCAGCAAGTAGGCACAGGTCAGCCAGTGCTTGCCTTGCCCATAAGGTCACCCAGTGTGCGCTGTTGAGATGGCACGGGGCCTGACTCACTGTGGTTGGGCAGACGCAACAAGTGACTCCACACAAACCATGACTCTGGGCCACATGGCCAGGGGGAGGCCACCTTCTGGGGGTGGAAGACCTGAGGGGGCTCGGCTTCAGCTGGGGGAGGATGGTGGGCAAGGGGGCCCTAGCGAGGATAGTCCGCACCATACCATTCAAGTGAGAAGGCGGCCAGACCCCTCCTTTCCTGAAGTCCCATCAGCCCCATCTTCAACAAGGATGGTGTAGGATGGGGAGGTGTTTTCTCTCCAGCCTTGACGCCATGGTTGAATGCGATGTCCCCCGATCTCGCCCTCTCCCGTCTTCTGCCCTTCACGTATGTACGTAGAGTTAGGCCTTTATACTACTGATTTTTCAAGGGCAGTTTTCAATGTCGAATAATCCGTCTGGGGGTGCAGTGGCTGCCAACAAGAGCCGGGTGCTGGAAGGAACATGAGCCTCAACCCATACTTACTGTCCTCATTGTAAGATATTGTAATCCTGTATAAACGCAACTTTCCTTTTAGCTTAATGGCCTGGGGTGGAATATTAAAATATGCCTATTAAGAAATACACTAAAATTTCAGAAAAATGTTTAAAAAAAAAGCAAACAATGATGAGGTCGGTTCCATAAGGTTGGCCTGCCTAATCCATCGTGTAACTACATGAGAGCAGGGTTCACGAGACGCGTCCTTGCCTGCTCAAGTAAGTTATTGCACTTACATCTTTTTGAGGGAGGGGAAGGCCTCGGAGGAGAAGGGGATTTGGGCGGGGGCGGGGTGGCCCCGGGGCACGGGGCAAAGTGGGGAGCAGAATTGGCTGGGCACTCCCAGCATGCCCTTGGCCGGGCACAGCCCTGACTTGTGCGCTGGTGGTTTGCAATAAACTCCTCCTTCCTCCTCTCAGCTGGAATCGGTCTGATTTGTTCCTGACTTGCGACAGATGAAATGCGATCAGAGGGACCTCTGAAATCTCACGTTAATTGAAGTCGGCAAAAAAGACTAACAGTGCCCTTTTGAACTGCTGACACAGAACAGAACGGATTACCAGGGCTCGATTAACAACAGGTGGCCGGTGATGCCCCTGCTCAGAAAGGGGTGCGTCGCCCCACCCCCACAGGGTCTGGGGCACCCTCCCCCTGCCTCCCGGAGGGTCTGCCTGCACAGCGGGGGGGGGGGGCGGAGGGAAGGGGAAGGACTGGAGTCCTTTCTACAGGCACCCAAAATGATGAACGCAGCATCCCCTTCCCTGCAGTACAGGGCGGTCCTTGGACCTAACCTGTGTCCTAGGCTACCTTGCCGGTGTCCAGGGGCCGTGCTGAGACCAGCAAGGCCAAGGCAGAAAGAGACCAGGATGG